CGGCGCTGGGGGCGGAGTCGAAGTGTTGGGGGCGGAGCGCTTCTGAGAGAAAGCGGCTCTGGGAGCAGAGTCGGAGTGTTGGGGGCGGAGTCGGGGTGCTGGGAGTGGAGCGCTGCTGAGGGAAAGAGCGGCGCTGGGGGCGGAGTCGGAAGGGGGCGGAGTCGGGAGCTAGGAGGGGAGCGCGGGGGAGGGGAAAGAGCGGCGCTGGGGGCGGAGTCTTGGCGGGGCGGGGCCATGGGAAGGTGGGGCGAAGCCATTGGGCCGAGGCGCGCCCGGAGGCGTGGCCGAGGCGGTCCTGAGGGGCGGGCTCGCCGAGCGCCTAGCGGAGGGCGGCCGCGAGCCCAGCTGAGGGCCGGGCGAGGCGAGTCCTCCGGGGCGGCACCGAAGCCGCGGGTCTTCGGGGCGGGGCCGAGGCCGCCGGTTCAGGTGTCGCGGCGGCTCCACGTCGCCCTAGCGGCCCGCGGGGCTGGAGCGCGCGGAGCCCGGGGCGCGCCTGGCGTGAGAGCCCGGACGGGCCGCAGCGTCCGAGCGCCGGCCCTTGGGGCTGGGCGGCCATGGCGGGCCCGGGCCCCGGGGACCCCGACGAGCAGTACGACTTCCTGTTCAAGCTGGTCCTGGTGGGCGACGCGAGCGTGGGCAAGACGTGCGTGGTGCAGCGCTTCAAGACGGGCGCCTTCGCCGAGCGCCAGGGCAGCACCATCGGCGTGGACTTCACCATGAAGACGCTGGAGATCCAGGGCAAGAGGGTCAAGGTGGGCGCCCCCCGGGGGTCCCAGAGCCGCCCCGGGGAGGGCTCGGGTGGGCGCCGCCGCCTGGGGTGCGGGGGGGGGGAGGAACCCGGCGCCCGAGCGACTTTGGCGGGTGGCAGGCGACAGCCGGGCGACACTCCGCTCTGCAGCTGGCACCGATCGGGCACCCCACGGGGGCGTGGGGACAGACCCCCCTCTCCACCGCCCGAGGAGCTCCCCCTCCCCCCCATCTGCTGGGCGGCCCGGCCCGATCTGCGACACCCCGCGGGTCCCCCTCTGCACGGGGGGCGACCAGGAAGTCGTGCCTCCGGGGACCCGGAGGCCAAAAGTTGTCTTTGTTATTGTTTTTGGTTTTTTGGGTCCTGGCCACGCCCCCTCCGCAGCCTCTTTGTGGACCCGGAGGTGGCGGTGGAACTTTCCTGGGTCGGGCGGGGCCAGCGCCGGGTCCCCTCCCCCCCACCCCCACCCCCCGCGGGAAGGCGACAGAAACCGAGAAGTGCACACAGATACCGGAAGGTGGGGGAGAGGACCCGGGCTCTGGCAGTGGCCCCAAGACCAACCGGCAGGATGTGGCTGCCCCAATGTCCTGGCCGGGGGAGGGGGGACTGATAAAGGATAGGGGGGAGGGAGATCCCAGTGTCCTCGCCTCAGTGTCCGCGTCCCCAATGGAGCCGACATCAGGACGGTATCCTGCTCAGAAAGGCGCTCCAACTGCCCCGAGCGATCGGTGCCCCGAGCGATGTCCCCTGCCTTGTCTGAAAATCTCAAGTTCATGGGACAACTCCCAACCCCAGGGCAGGGGCTGTGTCCCCTCCTCCCTTTCTTTTCTAGATCCCTGGGATGGAACCCAGGGGGTCCTCAGGACTTAGCCCCCGTCCCCAGCCCTATTTCTATTTTATTTAGAGACAGGGTCTCGCTGAGTGGCTGAGGCTGGCCTCCACCTTGCGATCCTCCTGCCTCAGCCTCCCGAGTCTCAAGGATGACCGGCGTGTGTGCCACCACGCCCAGCTGTGTTTTCAAGAAGTGGATGAGACTCCCCAGAGCCCTGTTTCTCGGCAACTCTGCCCCTCTGGGTGCTCTAGGCCTGCTCCTTGTTGTCCTTGGCCAGGATACTAAAGCACTACGTCTTTGTTTCTGTTAAAATGGGGATAATTTCTGGGTGTTGCCTTGGAGAAAAAGTTAAGCCAACCGGCTCTGTGTGACCTCAGCTCCTCTGGAGTATGGAGAGGGCAAGGTGCGAAGGGCTGCCTGGGGGTGCAGTGTGCCCCTGGGGCTGAGTCTGCACCGGGTGATGATGGCACCAGCCAGACTGAGTCACCAGGAACATCCAATCAACAAAGAGCAGCTAGTGCTTGTGGTTGACTTGTGTGTTTCGTTTTATGTGGTCGCAGAGATTGAACCTAGGGGTGCTTAACCCCGGAGCCCCATCCCCAGCCCTTTTTCTATTTTATTTAGTGACAGGGTCTCACTGAGTTGCTTTACAGCCTTGCTAAATTACTGAGGCTGGCCTCCAACTTGCGATCCTCCTGCCTCAGCCTCCCAAGCAGTTAGAGGTATATTCAGCTCCTGGAGAGCAGTATTATTATTATTATTTTGCATTTCCATTGTTGTTATTGTTGCTTTTCTTCCCCTTGGAACCCTTCTGCATGCTAAGCACTCTCTGCCACTCAGCTAAGTCCCCAACCATCTCCCAAAGGACAAAGTTGCCTTTGGGCACTGAGCTAGGAACTGATTGTGGGACTTCAAAACAGTTTGATCTTCCCCCCAGGGCAGGGCTGCTTCTCAGAGTCTGGTTGTTTGGACTGGGAAAGCCTTTGGCAATGACTTACCTTTTTTTTTTTTTGTGGTCAGAGAAATCTGAAGCCCAGCCCAGCCCCCTGTGGAGTGTGCAGATTAAAACTGAGCCCTTGAATTTAAGGGAACCCTGTCCTTGAGGTCCAGGAGACCTGGGGTCTGCTGACTCAACAGGAGGAAGTCATTTTTCTTCTCCCCAGTGTGTTTCCTAATCCAGAAAGGACTTCTGAGGTGTCCTGTAGCAATGAGATTTTATTTTTTTTATTTTTGGTCCTGGGGATTGAATCCAGGGGTGTATAACCACTGAGCCACATCCCCAGCTCCCCTCTTTTTTTTTATATTTTATTTAGAGACAGGGTCTCACTGAGTTGCTAAGGTCCTCACACAGTTGCTGAGGCTGGCCTCCAACTTGCGATCCTCCTGCCTCAGCCTCCTGAGTCACTGGGATTACAGTGCCCACTGCGCATGGCTGTGATTTTTTTTTTTTTTAACTCTGTTAATATTAAGATTTAAGGGCTGGGGATGTAGGTCAGTTGGAAGAGTGCTTGCCTGGCATGCACAAGGCCCTGAGTTCAATCCCCAGCACCACAAAAAATAAAAATAAAAGAAAAACATGTAATATACAGGGGCTGGGGGTGTGGCTCAGTGGCAGAGTACTTGCCTAGCACATGTGAGACCCTGGGTTTGATCCTCAGCACCACATAACAATGAAATAAATAAAATAAAGGTATTGTGTCCATCTACAACTAAAAAAAATTAAAAAAAAAACCATTTAATTTACACACAGTAGACCAGGGATTGAACCCAGGGGCACTTACTGACTGAGCCCCGTCCCCAGCCCTTTTTTATATTTTATTTAGAGACAGGGTCTCACTGAGTTGCTTAGGGCCTCTCGAGTTTCTGAGGCTGGCCTCCAACTTGTGATCCTCCTGCCTCAGCCTCCCAAACTGCTGGGATGACAGCTGTGGGCCACCGCATTCTGCTGATGCTGTGTTTTGTTCGAGTTTGAGGACTCTTACGTCAGCTGCTGGTGTTCCAGCTCTTTGAGGCTTGAAAGTCAGAGGTAAAGGCCAACAGGGCCAAGGTTCAAAGGGCTTATTTTTGCAGTCCTGGGGATTGGACACAGAGGTGATCTACTACCTAGCTACATCTCTAGCTGCCTCCATTTTTTTTTTTCTGATTTTTTTTTTTTGGGGGGGGAAGATGCTGAGAATTTATTTAACCCTGTACCCAACACTTTTTTTTTTTTTTTTGAAATACCAGGAATTGAACCCAGGGGTGCTCAACCCCTGAGCCACATCCCCAGCCCTTTTTAGATTTTACTTTGAGACAGGGTTGCTTAGGCTCTGCTAAGTTGCTGAGGCTGGCCTCCAACTTGGGATCCTCCTGCCTCAGCCTCCCAAGCAGTTAGAGGTATATTCTGCTCCTGGAGGGCATTATTATTATTATTATTATTCCTTCAAGTCACAGGGCTGCAGGTGGCCAGAGACAGACATTCCGTCCTTGACTGTTTATCTGTTCATATTTATTAGAGATAAGGAGTCACTGGCTAACCCGTGGTCTCCTGCATGTCAAAAAGGCCAAACCAGGATTTGAACTCAGGGTGGGCCTGGTTCCTAAGCCCCGGGCTCATTTTTTGTGCTTGATTACTCTTCTGATTCCGCAGAGGGTTTTTTTGTTTGTTGTTTGCTTGGGTACTGGAGGTTGGACCTGCGGGTGCTTTACTACCAAGCTACGTGCCCAGCGCCCCCACTTTTTTTGTGTGGTGCTGGACATTGAACCCAAGGCCTTGTGCATGCCAGCCAACTGAGCTCTACCAACTGAGCTACATCCCTGTCCACATGCCCAGCCCTTTAAAAAAATGTTCTTTTTGATTTTGAAACAGGCTCTCACTAAGCTGCTGAGGGTGGCCTCCAACTTTCGATCCTCCGGCCTCAGCCTCCAGAGTCCTTGGGATTACAGGTGTGAGCCACCACACCCAACTCCCTCTGAGTTTGTGCAGATGATCCTGATATATATATATATATATATATAAATTTTTTATTTTGGTACCAGGGAATTGAGCCCAAAGGTGCTTAATCACTGAGCCACATCCCCAGCCCCTTTTTATTTATTTTGAGATAGGGTCTCACTAAATTGCTGAGGCTGGCCTCCAACTTGCGATCCTCCTGCCTCAGCCTCCCAGATCGGCTGGGATTACAAGTGTGCCACCCCCACCCATCTTAAGATTCCTGAAAGTTCAATGAATCCAGTAAAAATGCAGTTGTGGCCATTGCATTTACTGAGAGAAGTAAACGTGGGGCTTTTTTTATTTTTTCTTTTCTGAAATCAAGTTTTTCATAGTAAGGATTGACTCAGAGAATCAGGATTTTGATCCATTAACTAGAACATTTAGATTGCCACAGGCAGCTCACATGGGCTGCCCGCTAGATTCTGTGTCATTTCTTGAACCCTCATGGATGCCTTTGGCTCTTGCTCCCAGGACTTAAAAAGTGACTCGGAGAACTGGGCGCCTGCCTGAAATTACAGTAGTTCTGGAGGCTGAGGCAGGAGGATAGCAAGTTGGAGGCCAGCCTCAGGAACTTAGGGAAACCCTAAACAATTTGGCGAGACCCTGTCTCTAAATAAAATACAGAATAGGGCTGGGGATGGGGCTTATAGATCAAGTGCCCCCCCTGGGTTCATTACCCAGTACCCCCCCAAAAAAGAAAGCACATTGGTCTCAGCCCAGGTCACTTGGTTGTGAGGCCCTGGGTTAAAGAGTTTCTCCTTGACTTGTTTTTGAAGATAAAATCCACTTGCATGGTTCAAATTCCAAAATTTCCAAGACTTAAAAGGTATACAGAAAAGCTAGGTGTGGGGCTGAGTGTCTGGTATCCCAGTCACCTGGGAGGCTGAGGCCGGAGGATTGCAAGGTTGAGGCCAGCCTCAGCAATTTCGCGAGAACCTGTCTCAAAATAAATAAAAAGGGGCTGGGGATGTGTCTCTATGGTTCAAATAAAATGATAAACAGGAAAGATGTCCCTTTTACCTTTGTCTTCTAAACAGTGTCCTCTAAAAAGAAGAATTTCTAGTGTATTCCAAAAATGCTATTGTAAATAAAACCCCAAAGTGCCTCATGCACACTAATATCTGCTTGCTATTGTTACCGTGTCCTCCCTGGTGACACAGAGGACAGGTCTGGGTTTGCCCTTCCCTTCCCACCTGCC